AGTCTTGAACCCACGAGTAAGTTCGCCAACCTCATGGACGCGGCTATACTCTACTTGGTATTGTATTCCGTCAAAAGCGGCAAAATGCCATCTTGATCCCCATAGCACCCCAAGCTGTGAAACCCCATGTGATCCAAGCAAAGCAAGACATGCCATTTACAGAAGGCTGCTGTTCCCCAGCATGCCATGGCAAAATTAGACCTCCAGCTCTTACTCAGGAGCGGAATAACAAAGTGAGGCCTGCCCCCTGATCTGCTCAGCTACTGTTTCCACAATGACGATACAGTAATTACTCCCGCTAGACCTGCAACCAGAATGATATGTCTTTAGATAATTCCTCAGGGTTATACTATGATAAAAATGAAAACTACTTCCTAAGGAGACTACGGGATAATGACATTTCTGGACGGGAATCGCCTGGGCATGATCTATATTGGGATTATATTGGGGGAATGTCAAATAACATGGAAACTACTGTAGCATATTAGGGTTATATGGGGATAACGGAAAAGAGAATGGAAACTACTATATCATGCCATGGCACTGCGAGAGGCGGTCGTCGGAGAGCTTCGGGCTGGATAGCGAGAGCCGGTACACAGGCAACCCGAGCTGTCCTGGTAACATTGAAGGCTTCATGACTTGCCGGTTCTTAGTAAGCAATAAGCGAATATAGCTGAACCCTTGCATAATCCTTATTCCCTACTAAGAATCAGTAAGGTGAAACTTTGGAGACTTTGGGTTTGGTGTTGAGGAGAGGAGGAGAAGTGAAACCCCCAGTCGTGATACCCAAAAGCTCCTGGCTTCCCTTCAGTCCTGCTATCCAGATGGTGAACTCGGACTTGCCTACACCAGGCGGTCCAGTGATCATGTAGACCTCTGCTTCGTTTTGACGTGTGGGTTGGTGTATAGGGTTGGGGTTTGAGGGTTTGGGGGAAGCAAGGGTTGAGGGATTTCAGGGCTTAGGGCTTAAGGACTTGAGGTTCAGGGTCTGGTCTAGGAAGAGATCCCACCGTCACATCTATGTAGGGATTTGAAAAAACGGATAATGCGCAGATCTTGCAGACAGGTCTCTCAATGGTGTGACATGCGAATCAATATTGAGGGCTTTGTAGTGGAGATATTGGCAGGCGTGACCCATAATGGTTCAGGTGACTCAAATGTGTAGCGGGAATGAATAACTTAATCGAGACAGTCCAGTTTTGCCATAGAGCTGGTTTTTGATTAGCCAGCTTCTGTGGCACTTACAAGGGATCCTGCATTTACAGCAGAGGAACCCGTGATCTTCTGAAGCCCATAAACGTGCAGGCCTGTGAAACACCATAGCTGATCCAGGAGCCCATCTAGCATCCTACAAATCATCCTCGACCCCAGTCCGGAAGCCGAAAACCCTGAATTCGACATGATTGTGTAATTTCAATAGTTTCTGTCATTTTTTGCGCTCCTCCTCCCCCTCTCAACGGTCTACCCTAATTCCTAAGCCGTACAACGGTCTACCCTAATTCCTAAGCCGCACAACCCGAACTAAGCCAGCAGGCACGGAGCGTGGTCTTCGCCCAAAGCTTGGCATCCGCAAGGATTTCCTCCAAGCCTTTGGAGGGGTTTTGGAATTTGGGGCTTGGGGTTTAGGGCCAAGGTGGAGTCACCCTAAATCCATCCCTTTCTGTGGCTACCGCTGGCTGCCCTGCCAATCCTTTTTGCCTAGCAAGTTGCGTCCTGCGAGCCCCTATGCCAAGGCGGACACGCGAGCAGCTAGCATCTACAAGGCTACAATGATGCAAAGCAGGATCCCAATATATGAACCAAAACCTTGGTCTTGAGTTCTGAGGAAAGGGTGGCAGAATTTACCATTACCTCGAAGCTGATTGAACCGTGTGATACGCACCAGAAAAACAAAAAAGAGGAAAAGGAAAACCAGAGATAGCAAAAAGGCGCAGGAAGTTCTGGGAACCCCAAATCAGAGCACGGGCACTCTCCCGCTCGAGGTAGAAGCGCTGCCCTTTGTCAGCAGTCCTCTTGCCTGAGATGAGTCTCTCAAACAGATCATGGTTCAGTGCCGGAAGAACAAAACGAGACTCACACGATCCGATGCACAAATTACCGTATGAATATGTAACAAAACAAAACTTAGGCCTGGGGATCACTGCTTAAACTGCTTCTGAAAGTGCTCTATACACCCTGCCAGCAATGTCGATACGCCATTGCGTTCCAAGGTCGGATTGCAGCAGATCGCAGAAGCTGTTGAGTCCAAGGAACAAATCATCTCTATCACATCGAAATACAGCCGCAGGGGTTGCAGCGGACTGGAAAAACCAAACCGCCTAGCCAACTTACAGAAGAGTTGGCAGAATGCACATATTACATGTGGACGGATGGCTGTACATGAGAATCTGCTACTGAACCCCAACCCATGTAAATGGCAAACGGGATTCCGAAGGTTAAGTAGCATTACAATTGAAATTCGCAAGTTCTCCTCCCCATCCCCAGTACCACAATTCCCAGATATGCTTTTGCAAGCACACAGCAAGCCCAGAAATCTGCTCAGCATTCAAGGTGCATGGCTTGACCCGCTCGAACTTCCACTCCTCGGCAAAGCTCTGAGTGAAGGGCACAGCAAGCCTGGAACAACTCAGGGTTTAGGGTTTGGGGCTGCAGTATCCATCCTCTCAGAACATCTGTCGGATTTGCTAGAGACACAAAGTCAACAGGAAGCCTGAATACCAAACCACCTCCGCACATCCCTCACATTGCCAAGGTGACTCAACTATCGCATATTCATCGAGGCCAGTCTTTACCCACTCCAGCCAAAACCCTAAACCCTAACCTTCAAGCCTCAGACTCCATCGAAACTTGTACCTTGAAGCAAGATCACTCAAGGTTTAGGGTCTAGGGTTCAAGGTTTAGGGTCAAGTTCTTAAGTCGCAGTAAGGGTAGTACCACCATAGGACCATGAAAGCTTCCGGCTTTGGTCAAGGATCTCCTGCAAGAACATATGACAGGTCATCAAACCAGCGCCTTCCTTCTGCAGTAGGGACACAGCACCAGAAACCAGAATTTTGAGACATGGGTAATTCCCAAACTTAGGGTCCAATTTTGGTACCCCAAATATTGGGTGCCGCAACATAATTTGTAAATCAAGGGGCCCATAATTTTGAGAACAACCCACATACATTTTTGGATGGATCCCATCTTTGCGCCGTCGAGGGTCTGGGACCCAATCCGTGCTGCTCTCCTGGAGGGAATACCTGAGCAACACCGCTTGGTTCCCACAACGAGCCAGAGGGCCGGTCCCTTGCAGCTTGGTTTGAAGAGGGCCTATAGGCTATTGAGTAAGGAGTCTCGAAGCCCAAGTCAAGAACCAGAATGTTCCAGCTTCAACAAGTCCAAGGGACACGTTCACCACGTCCTGAGCATGATTAAAAAAGCATAGCTCTAAGTCATGGCTGGGAGCTGCAGTGAGCTGGAATGCCATTCTGACGGGATGAGCTTTCGTTGGTACGCAGTGGGCAGACTTCTTTTGAACAGTTGAATTTCCGCTACACCAACATCAAGAGCAGCTCCTATATACATACCGTCGGCATGGGCCCCAGATGCGGCCGGATGCAGACTTGCAAAACTAAACTGCATGGCCGCTTGCCTGAATAGGCTTCACGAACTGACCGTAGGCGTGCTCGAGCCATTTCACCTCCAGGAAGAAGACAGGGGTACTGATTGCCACTTAAGATTCTGTTGTTTCAGGATTGAGGTTTCAAGGAGATCTTCTTTGATGGCGGATTGAACAACTGTGACTGTTGTTCCTGACTGGGTTGAATCTCTGCACGTAAACATACGCAGGCAGGAGCCAAAGCCACGAGTAGTTCCCTCGTGAAGCCACAAAGAGGAATCCTATGCAGGAATATGCTCCAGATTGCTTTTACATTGGGCACCAACTCTGGACCTGCAGCAAATGGCAGACCGGGCTAAATCCACACAAAAGGAATAAACACGACCGGGCAGCCAGCAGCTTCTTGTCTGTGACCGCGCGCTTCTCGCTAGAAAGCCTGAGATTGTGGCAGCAATGGTTGGCGAGCCGGAGGGTGGATAATGCTTCCAAAGGAAATGGAGGTCAATAGAATCAAATCTTGGGCATCAACAATGCAGAAGCTTGGCTTCAATGAGGCCCGAAGACGCAATGCAGGTAAATTGCTTCAGGAGGATTGCATCATGATACTCCATGCCATGCTGCAGTATGCCGCAACCACAGTGGTAACTTTTCTGACTGCCACGTATATGCTCAGACGTAACTAGGGACCTTCACCCGAAATCACAACGGCACCCAAAACACCCGGCTTTCCTTTTATGTTTTTGTCCTTGCCGCACCAGAGCGATGGCCGAGCAGCACATTGAGAATCAAAAGCTCTCGCCTTGCACGCTACAAGATTGATTGGAGATGCAGAGGAATGGAAAAGAAAATGGAAACTACTAAAATGGGTTATATAGGTTTAGGGCTTAGGGTGTAGAAGGAATGGAAAAGAACATGGAAACTAGATTGATTTGAGATGCAGACTTCAGGGCTAGGGCTGTGCCTTCGGAAGTAGCTCACGATGTGTGAGGCTGACAGATTTTTTGATACGACCCAAATGATCATAAACTACCTCTTTTGTTGGACCCCTTGACGTGAGGCATAGTTCAGGATGCTCCCGCTTGCGGACTTTGAGCTGGAGATCTTCGAAGGCAACAGGCGCTTTTACAAAACTTCATCGCTCTAATCTCGGTGAAGCAGGGCGACTACGCTCTAGTGGAATCTTCGTACCAAAGCATCAAAGGCTGGTACGGCGAGAAGACCTGTCCTGGGTGCACCAACTGGATGGGACATAAGCTGCTCTCTTCAAAATTCCGTCAACGACAGTACGCACTAGGTGCTGCATCACCTACAGGCCTACAAGGGGGCCCAGTAATGTTTTTGCAGAAGGCGCAATCATGAACCCTATTTCGCATCAAAAAGACCCTTGGAACAAAGCAGCGCGGCCGCCTCTCGATCCGCGCGTCCCTTCCACAGACAATGTCGTCCCCCGGTCTGAACTCAACCTGTCACTGTTTTACTGACTTGCCGTGGGGATCCGTGGGGGCGGTCTGGAGATTGTAGGCATCAAGGCCTTTGAAGAGAAGAAGACACAATGCCAAACCTTTGGGGATCTTTCTGTCCATTCTGTTGTGTCTTTGGCTCCGCGAGTTGAGGCTCCTTCGGACAAGCAGCCTAGGGCTTGGTTTCCGGTGTGGAGGGATACAGCAGGAATTTGGAAATGAACACAGCGCGGCCGAAGGGGTTCAGGGTCAGATACAGCATGCCTTCAATGAAGCGCGCATGATTCTTGAGCGCATCAAACGAGAATCCATTCCCTCCGCCGGACTGAGCGCACATGGAAACAACTGTAGTAAAATTTGTGAGCGAAGTTAAGGGTGACCACGTCAGTCACGGTAATCGGTAGATGACCACGGCAGGCAGCGGAGTCTAAAATGTATGCTGCACCCCGATCTCATGGCAATTAGTGCCTGTTGAGCGCAACAAGTCTCGTGAAATCCAAGAATCCACGAACTACAAGCCTCCTGCAATTAAAACAAGGCTCAGAATCGACTCGCAAGGCCCTTCGGACCCACTAGTATTCTGATTTGCTTACATCATACTTGCCAGTGCATCACATCGAAAGTTCTAGACTTTGGGGGAAACACATCGTGCAGGCATAAATCACAAGTTCGCTTTGTGATGCCTGTTGGTTTCTTGACAAGGCTATTGAGAGCTCTATCAACTATAGAATCAAGTGTACTAATCCAGAAATTCTCTCACCCAAACCTGCAACACCTGACCCTGATCTCAGGCACTTGCCCTCATGTCGAGGCGTTCATGGTGGGCGGAGTCTGGAGACTCTGGATCCGTCGGTATCCTTGGAGTTCGGGGATCCTAGAAGTCTCAGAAACAAGTATTCTGCAGATACTTCTGAAAGATTCTGCCCCTCTCTTGGACGAGCAACCTCAAGCAGATCGACATCGTTCGCGACTGTGAGCCCCAGAACCGCAGCTTCACCTGCATTCTTGAAGTCAAAGCATGGAAGACACGCAAATCCTGTGTTGAGCACTCATTTGTGTTGGCCGTGTGTGAGATTCGAGCTCGGGGCCCTGAAAGAATCTCATCGATTGCTGATGCAAGTTTTAGCGTCGAGACGGCAAACGTAACCTGAAGGGACAGAATAGTATTGTACAAATCTTGACCTCTTCGTTCAACACCGTGCCGGCATGGCCTGAATCTTCCCAGTGAGCTTGTCATGCCTTAGCGCATTTCAAGACTGACACTCCGTTGAATTGAAGCCCTGTTTTGGCTGGTATCACTTATAACCTATGCAACACATGTACCAAATGTTCAACTTTGCCACACAGGACCCGACCAGCTGCTCGCTTTCTTACTTCCGATAGCCTTAGTCTGACCCGCCTGTCTTGTATATCTGGCGCCTGAGTTTACAAACAGGCCCTTGAGCCTAGACTTCTAAAACCATGAAATTCTGTACACGCTCAGAAATCCAAACACCTCCAAAGACCCCTAAACGCAAAAAGCAAAGCACATTTGCACAAAAAAACACCCTTGAGCGCCAAAGCTCCATGGCACCAAATCCAAAGCTATCAAACCACCAGGCTCCAAGCAAATGCGGCCACGAGCACTCCTGAAGCGCCTCCTGATCCCAACTGCAAGTGAGACCCTGCCGCTCCTTGGTGTTGTGCTCATCAGCTGCATTGGGATTGGTATGGGGAATTGTAGGGATGAAGTGCATTCCAAACCTACAAGCTGTATGGGGCTGGGGGGCCTTCAGGAAACCCAAGGGAAATACTGGACAAGGACGAGATCATTAGAGCTCTCTAACCAGGATTCTATAGGGGTCATTTGAGAATCAACACCCACAATCCCTGCATGAAGTATCATTGTAGAGCATATGCCAACAGTCTCCTTGCTTGCCGTACTAGGAAGGACGAAGTCAAGTTGTAGACGTGTCCGTCGCAGTCGTTTAAGTACTGGTGCGTCCTAAACTATCAGTCATCCTGCAGAGGTCTATCCAACTGCAACCTGTTGTTTAAGTCACAAGTCGCGCGCCTTGCTGACCCTTGCATTTCTAGCTGCGTATACATATTCTAGGCTGAAAGCCTTAGTGTCGAGCAAGAGTCAAGTTTAGTTAGTAGCGCTGCGCCCGTTCTTGGATGCAACCAGATCGGACGGTCAGGCCACAGCAAACCACAACCCTACCAGTTCCCTGAATCATGGGCACTACCCTCCCAGGTTCCCCCTTACTAAGGTTCTTTAGGGATGTTTAGGGCTTGCTACCGCCAATCAGGAGATGGGCAGTCCCTTTTTGCGTAGCATCCTACAGAAAATGCCTAAGTGAATTCAATCAAGTAGCTTCCGGGAAAGCCTTCCCTGCAAACTGTCAAATCAAATCCTAGCTCCTCAAACTTCTTTTATGGGTTCTTCCAAAAATCAGGGTCACCCTGAAATTGCACAACAACTAGCATCCTCGTTACGGGGACTCCCAACCAGGCTTCTGGAAACTTTCATATGGGGTTGTACCCCAAGTACTTGACCTGTGGACCTGCGCGTTTCCAAAGCCCAGTTGCGGCTTCTTTGGCCAAGAAATCAGTCACCGCCTGGCACTCTAATCTTGTTTCTTATGGATACAAACCAACAGACATTGGTGGCTAGTGTGGCAGCGCTCACACATGCTGTTGTGGTGGAAAGTTTTGCTAGCAAGACTTTGCCTGTTTTCCAAAGCCCCAGCACTGCTTTTGCCAGTTGCGGTACTGGCATCAAGACTTCGCTCAACATGAGGGCATTGGTCTTGGAAAAGCCTCCAGACTACCTTGCTCGGTGTTCCACGCTTTCCGCACAGGATTTCCATCATAAGGCATGTCCTCAACACATTTAGGTATTTCTCAATGTGAAGACGTGTAATCCTTAATGGCAGCCCCCATACTTTCCCTCTGGTGCTCAACTTTGTCCATGCAAAGACTGCTTGTTCGGGAACAGCTGGCCGAGCCCAAACAGCAACTAACCCCCTCCCCTATTCAAGGGCGTAGAGCTTCGGATGTAAGAGAATATTAGCCCTAAGGGTTAAAAGCTCACCACCCCCTAAAAATCAATGCTTCCAATGTAGTACCATCGTAGAGTTGGGGAAGCTTGATTATTGGGGGGGGTTCTTTTTAATCGGGAACGGGATTAGTCGTTTTACAAGCTGTTGGCGGGGATGTCTCCTTTCAGGGGGTCCCATCGTTTTGCAAGGCTGTGATTTTTAGCTTCCATGTCCAAGCTTTACATAATCTCATCTACGCAAGTTCTGACGACTGCTCGAAGCCCTTTACACATGCCTAGATCCATGGGCCTACCTCCCAGGTTTGAAGAGAAGGGCCATCGCACACAAGAACACAAGACCCCAACAGAACACTTGATGAAGCCCAGGGCGTAGCTGAAGGGAGCAATGTAAACCCGGTTCGTATAACAATCTTGAAAGCAAGTTAAGACTTTCGCTCGCGTCAGCTCTCAGGAAATCTCAGATTATTCACCATGCGAGTGCTCCTAACTGTGTTAATACTATAGTGTCAGCGATGGTCCGAAGGACATATAACTAAACGGCGTTCGTGCCGAGTTGACTGTTTATATCCACTTGCAGCCAAAGGCCCAGCCTCAAACAGGGTGGCAGAGACGAAACGGCGGACCTCCTCTGCAAAATCACCGATGCTAGTCTTTTCGCGGTTTCTATAGAAACCACCTCGCCTTGACATTTTATCACTGGAGGTTCTACCTCTGGAGTTGTATCTGCTAGCATTAGAGAGTTTGTAGGCTTGTAGGGGATTCCTCACACATCGCTCGGCAACTTCTTAGCAAGGGCAGAGACTCTCAAAAACTAAAAGCTTAATGGCATGCTTCAAGAAAGAGGTCCGACATGAGAGCTGCATGCTGCAAGAAACCAACGTAAACCAGAAAAGTAAAGTCAATCGTTTTCAGCATGACATTTGATCGAAACCCTTCAACTCAGCACTCTCCACCCTTCAGTCTCCACGCGGATGAACAAGACGTTCTGGAACAGTGGCACCAGCATGGACCAGAGGCCCTTCATCGCCTGGGATGGTCGTGGGTTCAGGGTCTGGAGATTGTGGATCTGCATCTTGGGGGACGCCTTGCTGCTCGCAGTCTCGCTCTAAACCCCGAAAAGAGCAAGAACAATCTTGGCTGGTAGCGCTAGAGGATTCACTTGGGAGCACACAAATGCACTTATTCATTCTTCTATGGCCGGAAACGGTAGGATTGGTAGATTCTGATAGTCTCCTGGGTTTCATGATACTCTTCCCACCCAGAGGAACTCTGAGATGGAGTCCTGCCAAGCCGCGCTGATGATGTAAAAGCCGAAGCCCAGCAGCAGCCAGCCCCGTTGTTCGGGGCGGGTGATCCACCTGGGAAGTGTGCAAAAGCATCGTCACTTCTTTGCGGCACCGTTTTAGAATACTACGCTTTGGTTTTGTTGAAGGATGTTGAAGGCGTGTTTCAGTGCGCTAGTTGGAAATTTGGGGAAGGGTCTACGTGAGAGGCCTACGGATCGCAACTCTTAGCATTTAATGTTGTCGCTCGCAAGGATCAATTGTTGGCTTCCAGAACATTGAAGTGGTCCCTTCAGAGGGGGAGATACTGTACCACTGAACACTCCCCAAAATACTGCAGTTGCGTGGGTATCGGGGTTTCCTACATGCACAGTTCAGCACAGCGTGGCACCTACCTCCTCATGCGAACTATCTTCAAGACTGCTTGTGTGCAACCGATGTGGAATGTTTCAAACGTCCTCCGTCCTCTGAAATTCCTGTAGTTAGGAGAATAGTGCATCAGAAAGGGGTTGAGGAATTGTGAGGATGGAACCATTTTCCATTAAGGAAGATGTAAGTCCAGGTACAGGGGTAGCTAGGTGACCCGTTAAAACTTCAAGGGAAAGTTGCTTCTCTTGCGTTTGATGGGGTGTTGGTTTCTTGATTTGAATGATGTGCATGATGAGCTCCGGGCAGCGGCAAGCTACAAGTAGCAAGGAGACCTTCGTACCGTGAGTCTTCAGTAGTGAGAGATGCTCAGAGAGAAACCCCAACTGCACATAGTGGATCCTTTGAGATATAGTCCCCCTTAAGTAGATAGAATATGGCTTTGGGTATATTATAATAAGATCCCCATATACCCCATACTCTATCTACTTAAGGGGGACTATAGCTCTTCATGCCGTGCACATCTTCACCAACATATTCTATCCCTGAGAGTGATCGAGAAGCCATCTCCAGTGAGCTTCCTGGGGGTCCCCATAATAAGGGCCCTTTAACCTACACATATTCCCTATAAAACCCTTGTACAATCCTCTCTCATCCCTATAAAATGCCTCTGCAACCTCTAGATAATCCCTCTATAACCCCAATGCAACCCCAGTATAACCCCTATAAATCCAATAGGGTCCTCTATACAATCCCTTAGTCTTCTTATCGGGGTAAACCCTAAACCCTACACCTTAAACCGAAAAGCCTAAACCTTAAACCCTAAATATGGGGTCAGGTCTGTCAAAGCATCCTGGACTCCCGCTGAGGGACTCCAGACTCACGAAGATGGACAAGAAGACCTAGGGATCGTATGGGGATTTGGCTTAAGATCTAGAATTTAGGGTTGAGGCATAGACATCATATAGGGATTATAGGGGTTATGTAGGGGTTATATGAGGGTTATATAGGAGTTACAAAGGGGTTTTATAGGTTTCATAGATCAACTCTCAGGGGCGGGGCTTCCATGTCCATCATCCCTGAGCCTCACGATCCCCAGATCCCCAACCTCACCAACCTATTTGGAAGGTCAGGGGGACTTAGTAAGGGGGTTTTAACACTGGGGTGATCATTTTCATATATATATATATGTAGTAAGTATAAGGTTTAGGGTTTAGGGTCAGGGGGAACTAAGTAGGTTGATAACCCTTATAGCACATATACTAACTCAAGTAACTCCATTATTAATGAACTTAGGGATGCTATACGGCGGTGGGACGAACGTTGGACCCACCACTATGAACACAGGTGCCACTACGACCCCCTCCTCCCCCATAGACTCCTCCACAAGGGCCACTCAACACTCCCTGGAGGCTTTTGCTTGTAGAAACAGGGTATTACTCCCTGCTGCTTCTGAGGGAATGGGGGAATGGATCCCTGTCTATAGAAATCCCTATATATTCCCTAATAATAATACCTTTAATCCATTCCCCCATTCCCTCCTAAGCACCAGGGAGATTGGGCTCATTTGTCGCTGAAGGCACAAGGCCCAAGTAGGGCGAAACTTTGGTTCTCCTGATGTATTGGTTAAAGGGTTTTTTAACCTAAGTAGGTTACTGATGGGGATAATTGGGGTTACTATATGGGTTACAGGGGTTATTTACCTACTTACTAAGTCCCCCTATGTCCCCCTGACCCTCCAAGTAGTTGACCTGAACCTAAAGCCTACACAACCCTACGCAACCCTAGAAGCCCTGTACACACTTTCCAAGACTCGGCCCAGAACCCTAAACCCTAAACCCTAAACCCAAAAAAAGGTTCTGGAAAACAGCCCAGATACTGTGGACACAAGCAGCGCGAAGGCAAGGAGCACGAAGGCACAGAGATCCTGCCAGCGCCTGGAGACCACGGTCACCTGCAAGTTTCTCAAAGTTGTGGGTTCAGGGCTCAGGGTTTGGGTCTAGGGCGGTTGTATTGTGATATTATCCCCCAATAATCTCAAAGTTGTGGGTTTCACTGCTTTTGCTTAAGAGGAGTGGGAGAGTGAATATAGGTACCATTATGGGGGTATATATGGAGATTCTTAGTGGGATTGTAGAGGGATTATATAAGGATAATTCGCGTATACATGGGGATTTTACATGGATGATTATAGGGATCCACTCCCCCAGTCTCCCTTAAGAACCAGTAAATTGAGGGATGCGGGGGCTCTGGGAATGGCCGGTAGGTTCAAGCCCCTATGTGAGCTACCGTCTAAACTCCTAGTATCTCCCTTAAGAAGGTAATTTCGAATAATTTCAATAGGCCATTTGGTTCTATTCCCTAAACCACCATGTAGGATGAATTCGGATGAGGTGACTTTAAATTGCCCACCCTATATAGTCCCTATATAACCCCCTTTAAGGAGTTTAGACTATAGCTCGTGTGACCTCAAAGGTGAATAGTTCAGGCTTCGCTTCATGGTATAATGAGCTTTCGAAAACGTGGCTTCTATTCAAAAGTGTGTGCCATTTTGGAGTGATCCCGACAGCTTCATATCGTTCGTGGTGCTGTCTGCTCACGCGCAGCTAGGCGGAGAGGCCTGCGGTGATAGCGTCAGCTGGCCTGGAAGTCGCACCTGCATCCATGGAATGTGAAGTGTGTGTAGGTTCAGTGAGTTTTACCGAATGCCAAGGGTTGGTTGGGTCTGATGAAAGTGCATGGCTTTGCCACCTGGAATCCGGGTCAGGATTTTAGGGTGGGGATTCCACAAGTTTGGAGCGCAGGAGCTTAGAGTTTCTTGACACGGTACTTGAAGGATCAGGGCGAAGTGGTCCCTGATCTGCAAGGGCTGCAAGGGCATTAGACTGCGCCTAGTCACGACCCAATCAGCATGGCAGTCAGCTGAGGATGGGCAGCAAAAGTTTGAAGGTACAAATTGTTCGTCAGTTGTCTACAAACCTGTTCCTGCATTGGTCTTTGCTGTGGAGACACATGAAAGGCATACAGCGGCCAGTAGGCTCCTACATGGACGGCACACGTAAGCGGAAGGTCTGTTTCAAGGTCCTTCGCCTCCTCCACCAAACACACTCTCTAGAAGGCTGGAGCACGTTCTCAGCTTGTTGCGATGTCGGGGGTCATGATCAGGCATGTCAAGCAGGAGCTCTACAGCGTAGCTGTCAACAAGTGTTGCGCCTAACGAAAGGAAAGCTTTCCCCAACATGGTGTCCCCCCATGCTGCCAAGACGCCAGCGTATCCGAATTCGTCATCTCAACATGAGCCTGGGAGGATGCTGCACCTGAGACATTGTCACAGAAGGGCTCATGGGGCTTTGTGAAGGGCTCAGGAGGGCTGGGACTTGGGGTTGAAGGTTCAAAGCCTTTGGGAACGAGTCTGAGCCCAATAAGCACATTAACATGTCAAGACAGCTCGGCAAAGATCATCTTATTCAGGTGGGTCGTCAGCGTTTCCTCCCATCCCGACGTGTTCTCCATTTGAACAAAGTGAAATTCAACTTGCGACCCAGACAGATAAACAAACCGTGGACCATAGTCAAAACACACTGCATAACTCCCAACCAACAACATGCGGCTTAGAAGATGGTCGACATCAAGCTTAACTCGCTCTCTATAGCCTGTACCGCACGCCTGCTGTCCTCATACCGTACTCATGGCTTCAATGAAGACCTAAAGCTCAAAGCATCTGAACAACTGACCAGCACCCTCCACTACAAATTACACAAACCCAAAAGCTATCTGCTTAAGTACAATCAGCAAAGCATGCAAAGCAAGGAATCCTACGCCGGCTCCTTGGCTCTAAACGAAGTTCTCAGAAAAGTCTGTCACGCAACCAAGGACTTTCAAGACCCACCAAGTCAGAATAACAGACCCAACAGGCTCAGACAGACTTCCACAAAACAAATGTGCAGTTAAGGCTACTAAATATTGCCTACTTGGAGTATCGGGGGGACTTCGTAAGTAGGTTGATAACTCCTATAACCCATATAGTAACCCTAATTATCGCCATTCTTCACCTACATACTACTAAGTCCCCCATAAGACCCTCCAAGTACGCAATCAGAAAACGAGAACTGTTTCCCACAAGAATCGAAGAATTTGGCTAAAAGTTCCTGAGGCCTATATCCGTGACAACCAAGCTACCGGGAAGGAGGCGCTCCCGAAAGGCTCCCAGGGACAGGTGGCGCTGTATCCATCGCCACACCCCCATGGAGGTGGGGTTCAGAATTTAGAGTGGCATAGAGGCGGACTTTGTGTTTTAAAACAAGCTGCTAAGATTCAGTTTTTGTTCCAGCTTCCAGGCTTGCTGACGACATTCAGGGCATTTGTGTCTGGTGCAAGCAGACATGTCTTCATGTGAGACCCCTGTCTTGCGCAGCTGCTCCGGCCGTGGGTTGAGGGCGAATGCACCGAAATTTGGGGTTCAATGAGTGGTTAGCTGGGAAAATTGAGCACCTTCTTGGAATCTAGCTACCGCGCTCAGAACACGGCACCTCACCTTTGAGGGCACTCAAAATGCGGAAAACTGTATCTTGAGGCCATGCTCCAGAAAGCATGCCAGCACCAGAGTCTTAACCTTCATAATCCCCAAGAATCTTCCCTATATTTCGTTCTTTCAGTCCCCACGAACCAGCAGCAAGTCATCTCTGTGAGGCAGTACGTCATTGATTGAGGCCTTTCTGGGCTGCCCCCAATGCGAACAGCTGGGCCAGGAGCAACGCACAGGAGTTGCGGTTAGAATCCCCATGCTTACTGCTGCGTAGTGGGGAATGAAAGAATGTCATGAAGGGATTATCATTTGGGGTCTTTTAAAGACTGCACTTGGGATCCTAACCAACAATTGGTAACGATGAGCATGACCGTTGCTCATGACTCACGTCCTAGCCAATCGTGCTCACGTGGGTGACCTGCAAGGCAGCATTCAGCTGCTGTAACAAACAAGTTCAGCAATCTTCTCCGACGTGCGCTTTTCTCTCAAGCTTTCTGAACACATCGAACGTTCATGCCCTCAACTAGCTTCTGTACACCGGAGGGGCATTCAGAACGGGGGCCCATTAAAATGACCTCCACTACTAGTTGGGTCCTTGCGGCTCTGCAGCTACGAAGGACCGCACCCCTAAACTAAGGCTAACTAAGGTCTGGTGTTTCGAGTTTAAGCTCAGTCTGAGTCTGGGCAAGCTGAATCAGAGAACTGGAGGACCCAACCAGCGGGCGCAGCACAAAAGACTTTCCTGTTCTTCAACGTACGGGTCCCTGAACACGGGGGAGAGTTCAGACAATGCCTGTACCATCCAATAGTCCTGTCTAGAATCAGATTTGGTGGCAGTTAAGTTTTGGCCACTGGCATGGAAGAGGGCCAACGTTGACTGATAGGTGGAACAATCTGGATTGAGGAGCCTCAGAAACATGGTCTCCTAGGCCTAGCATCCAACTTCCCAATCCTCCCACAAGCGATGGATTATCCCCCGATAATCTGCATGCAATACATGCGAAGCCTCTGTGATCCCTGTTCAACCCTTCTCCACTTCACCCTGCTAGCTGGCTCAGCGAGCGCCGCCGAAAGCCTGCCCGAGGGCCTGGTTGACCAGATCCTGCGCAGATTGTAGGGGCTTGGGCATAGCAATACTATTCAAAGTAAGGCGTTTACAGCTGGATGGGAGGAATCATTCATAGTACTACTTGCAATAATTGGGACTTGGGGTTTAGGCTTTGTTCAACCTTGCGGACTGTTACGTCTGCCTGACAGGCAGAGGGTTTTACGCTCGGTGCTGTCACTTCAGATTTCTACGCAGCAGGCCTAGGGTTTGGGGTGCAGGGTTGAAGTTTTGGGGCTCAAGGGGAAGACAGAAATTTCGCAAGAGGTTAACTTACTACTACTGAAGGGCAAGCACGGAAGGTGCTGTAAGTACCACTGTGAATCATAGGGGCATCTGTGGGCATTGCGTAAGTATAAGTAGCAGTATAGGGATCAGTGGGTTGCAATTCCTACTACACAATCCTAGTCAAGTAGACGAAATCAATTCTATAGGCCGCATCCTATTTCTGAATTCTGTATCCTACAGGCTGAACATGAAGTAGTAACGATATGCATGATTAATGACACTGACTATGATGGTGTAGCTGCAGCGGTGGAGGCGGCAGCTGTGCAACAGCGGCATCTGTGCTACCATGGAAAAGGTAGTAGTGACGCGGGCCTGGTGTTGGCAATGGCGGTGGTGGCTGCGGTGCGATAAACAAAGAAGACGCGAAATCAGTGTGAATGAACATGCTTGTCTTTACCACCACCACCACCACCACCACCACCACCACCACAGCCAGCAACAAGGCTCACCCAGAGCAACAAGGGATACCCAGCTCGGAAATGCAGCTTATCTGGGATAGGCCAAAATTCGCAAACACAGACGTTAGGCTGTTTGGTTGCAATTCGGCTTCAAGTACGGCATCGTCCAAAAGCCACCCTACTCTCACTCAAGAAAACAAGGATCCATTGCTAGGCTGAACAAACTTTGAACTGGAAGCTGGACCCCGAACCCCTAACCCCTACTGATGCTCAAAGACGAACCGAGCATTAGCCCACTGGCTCGGAACTAAATGGAGAACAACAGCCCTGAAACGGATCGCACAGTCCTGTTGAGTCCTTAGCAAAGCAAAGGATGGCTTTGAATGTGCCAGCCCTATCATCGGCATGTCCGTCCTACAAGAGGACTCCTAAATGTATGACAAACATATGGGTTTATGTGTGTGTTGCTTTGCCGGGCGAACGCCGCCAACCGACTCAACCCACCCACATCTGGGTAACCCTTTTCATTCGGTCGACGTCACGCCGCATTCGAAAAACAACCCCCGGGCACACAGGTGAGAAGCCCATATCACTATGAGTAGCATTGTTCTGTGATTGAATCTCATAAGATTATGTTCTTCTTCGAAAATACCATACCCAAAAAGATGACATAATCTTGCTCCTGATTGTGGGCCAAAGTATTCATCAAAACTACGGCCTTATCTAATATATAACCCCCACTACCTACTAGTTTCCATTTTCTTGTCCATTTCATTCTCCATTCTAAGTATCAAGCCTGAAAGTCTAAACCCTGTCAGTAGTTCTTTAGTCCTACTTTAGCCCAGCCAAACACCACTGGCTTGGCTACCTTCTCGGCCCCCCTCCCAGAAAAAAGGAATATGTTATACGTGGTCAGATTAAGGAACTTAACTTAAGGAAGTATCATAGTACTGGGTTTGGGGGTTTTGAGAAATGCAAAAGAGAATGAAAACTACAGTACCATAGACAAAGACTACGACTCCTCAAGCTGATGATAAATCCTGATGCAAGATGCGTTCGACTTAGAAACAAGACTTCCTCATGCAACTGGGGCTGCTGCGTCGAGGGTTCTTCCGCCTAGGCTTGTACAGGACCTACCCTGTTTAGCTTTGGGCCCGAGCCTACAGGCCCTCAACTATGGTTCAACTTAAGGCTTAGCGTGTTGCCAGTCCTCCATTTGTCAGGTTCAACTTTCCTCTAGAAGCTCTTTATAACAGAGGGAACACTCGCAGCAATACCGAGGCCAAAAGTTGTACAAGCCTTGCTCTGCATGACCTGAAACAGATGCCTGGATAGCAGCAGAGCTGTTCGGATAGCGCTGCAAACTCCAAGAACCAGACCGGAAACAACTACCTCTGAACACAGGCGCAAGCATAAATCCGAAACCCTGAATCCTGTCAGCTGCCTCTCTCCAGAACACCCAATCCCAAAGCCCACGACCCGATTTTCTCAACAAGCTTTGGCATTCGACTCGACAATACCTCTGCAGAGCAAATGTCTAAAAAGTGCATGTAGGTTTGCTGGCATATGTACTGCAGTCAAAGTACAAGCTACGGGACTATGACCACTTGGCATTCGTATAAACGTGTCAGGCTCCTCACTCCCAAATTTCAGTCCTGACCTGATCCCCGAATCCTGAACCTCATCATCCAGTCTAATGCCCAGATGTCAGGCTTATTCCCCTGTACGATCATCCCAAACTGAACCCCAGGCACAAAATGTGAGACCCCAAATAACCGGCAATCCCGACACCTCAATTAAACCATGAGACCTACCCACACCGCACGAACATCTTCTATAGAGCCCAAGTGCCACAACCTGATTAAAAGGACCCTAAAAAGGTACCCCTAATTTTATGAAACCCATATACACCTTGCTTGCACCCGATGCCAGAGCCCTGCATGGCGAGCTACCTTGGAAAGCTCCTCGCGAAGCTGGTCCTGCCTGGGAAAGGTCACGTGGAGGGTCAGGGGGACTTAGTATGTAGGTAAACAACTGGGATAATTAGGGCTACTACATGGGTTATAGGCTATATGAACCTACTTACTAAGTCCCCCTGACCCTCCAAGCAGGACGTAGACACCAGGGAGAATTCGAGGCGTAGGGTGAAGGGGGGTTAGGGCGGAGGGCACAGGGTTTGGGACTTTCTTTTGTTCATAGGACCTATTTAGAGTTTTGAGTTTGAGGGTGCGAGGTTTCGGTCTTTGGAGTATCTACGACTGCACGGTCAACCCAAATGTGAAGCACAGTGACGATGGTAGCATTAAGAGGCAAATTTGTAAGATCATATGGGCCTGTTTAGGTGCAGGTTTGGGTCTCTACATGCCTCTGAGAAAGTTCGCGCACCAGAGTGAGTGGAGTCTAGCGTTCGGGTCGGATTTGGGGTTCTGTTATGTCTCTTTGAGGGGCACATGACGAAAGCCCAGGGAGAAGTCATTCCGGCACACTTTGTAAGAAGAGATGTTCTCCACAGGTCCCTTTCTGGAAGGCCCTTTGACTGAGGGGTTCTAAGAAGCACAGGAATCCCTATACCAATGGAATTCACGCCTCGTTGGGATTCCTACTTCTGGCATGCTTCGAGCTTTTTTCTCGCCACTTGAGGCAGCGCGGCTACACGTGCACTGCATAGAGCTGCACGTTGCCGTCCTTTGTACCTACCTTGGCACGACAAAGGGGATAAGGTTGGTGATATAGGGATAATGGAAGAGAAAATGGAAACTACTATATTATAATAGGGTTTATATTGGGGGAATATAGGGATAATGGAAAAGAAAATGGAAACTACTATACTGTATTGGGATTATATTGGGGTTATTGTGCTCATTTTTGTGAGGGTGCCGTGTATCAATCATAGGGGAATCTTCAAGCTGTTCGAGGCATCCTTCTGCAGCCTTTCTTTGATTGGAGTCAAAGTGGGAAACTTCTTGAGCGAGCATTGTGATGATGTTATAACGCGCGGGCTTTGACATTCATGCTTGACAGGGCTCGGAAGAAGCCGGACCGAATCTCCTTCAAATGAAAGAGCAATCGCGTCTTGTTGAACCATAATCCCCTCGAAAAGCAGATCCCTCCTACAAGTTTTAAGCTTCATCCCTAATTAATTGGGTCTTGGGCTCAAGCACACACGGTCCAGGAGTTTTTGCGTCTGACGCTTGGAGATCATCAACTTCACGTCCAAATTCCCAACCCAATTTGTTGATCTCTCTCTCTGTCTGCGCTCCAGCATGGCAATATCAGAATGCGGGGACCTCAAAAAGGGACCAGAAAGTTGGCTCCTCTCGTACAGCCCCACTGCGCCTGTCTCAAGTGCAAGATACCAACATGCTTGTCTGCGCCCCATGCATGCAGCACTGAAGGCTTATCGCCGAGGTGTCCAGTTCGGCCACGTCCTTCACATGGAATATGGGGATTATACAGGCCTTTACATAAGGATTACATAAGGGCCTTATCGGGATTGATCGAGAATTCATATGCACAAATGCAGGAAGTCTTGCACATGTATCGTAAAGGTCTGAGCTCAAGCCTTCTAGGCCCCATACCCTAGGTCTTTCCAATTCCTATCACCGAGTGTAAAGCCATAAAACCAAGCTCTTGCACAAGCAGTCAGACACCCCGACATGCACAACCAGGGAAATCAGCCTGAATTCGATGTTGCCATGCTTTCGGGGATAGGGGGCACCCGAGAGGCTGATGAATGCCAACCCTTTTGAGGGGTATGGACTATTTACAAAGCCGCTGCACTGCAGTAATATTACTATTTTGGGTTGCCTCAAAATAAGGGGCCCTTAGAGGTTATACAAGGGCTATTGAAGGATTACAGGGTCTCCCTTACGATTTAGCAGTCCAGCTGTTACATGGTAGTTTCCCACAATGGGGAAACCCCAATGTAGACCAAAGAATACAAAAATCTTTGTCGTAGAAACCCCAGAAAAATACGCCAACCGATACCTATAAAAATCTCAGTGTCCGCTTCATTTTCCAGTATCTCTTCCATTTAATTCTACATTATTGGGGGGGTAATGTCCCTGTGTCCCTAGATAGTCCCTAAAAAAACCCCATATATCCCCTTTTAGTACCCTATCAATCCACGTATACCCCATTAGCTTTCGGAAGCCCGCACAGTCACGGCCTCCGGACAAATTCGGCGCCGGTCTAGCGCCAGTAACCGCTTTCCTGGAGCCCGTCAGGGGCTGAATTAAATGATGTAGAGCTTAGAGTTTAGGGTTTAGGGCCCTAACAATAAACCTCTCAAGAAAATATGTGTTTATATAAACATGAATATGTCTGTGTGTTGATGTCTTCCTGCTTCTCAGCACTGTACTTGTATGCACTTCGGGGATTGGGGGTCTCATGATGCGCCAAGGACAGAGCAAAATGAGGGCGTGAATCAAACTGATTACTATTGTTATTATTACTATTACTATTATTATTATTACTATTACTATTATTTTTATTACTATTATTATTGGTGGATCTCTCTCAATCTTGTTCTTCTCCTCCAGGCTCTAGGGAGCTCTACAGCCTTCTTGGGGCAACACCCCAAACCACGCATGTCCCGCAGGTTCACTGTCTATACCCGAGAGGCTCGACATACCGCATGTACTGGGAACACAGTGAGCAGGTAAATATCCCCGACGACATCCCATGCAATGTCAGTGCAACCCTCTGTCCTTCTCCATTGGGCTATGACAAGTTCTGCGCCGCTTTTAATCGCTTCCCCCTTACATAAAGAAACGTCCTCCTCCCCCACCCACCCCTAATATCGAAGGTGCTCGAAACATTACTTAACATTAGGGTGTTATTAGTTCAATAAATGCATAGGGCTGCCCTTGAAATCCTTTTGAACTCCATGGGAACTGGAGACTTAGTTAGTGGATCAAATCAATTGTCAAATCGCATTAGGTCATTAGATCGCATCGAAACAGTTACTTAATTAGTTAATCAATCAGTTACGTATTTAATGAAGTTATGATCCATTGAACCCCTAATTCATCAGTAGGTCTTTTAACCGTTGTCTTTCCCCTGTAAAACGTAATCTTCAGGAAATCTGGGCCCCTGAATTTATGCTTTTATAAAGGGGAAATTGGGAAAGCGAGTCTCACGCATGACTCAATGCTTAGCCACCCTCAATGTGTCTGCCTCTCGCTCTATCTATCCCTCTTTCTCTCCACTGCATACGGTGCTCATGTCTGCAGACTGCGCTGACCCCTCCCAGACTTAGACAGAGTATGTACAAAAGAATAATGGTTACATTACACCCTTGCGGGTACAAAAGGGTTGCTGTGCTTAAGACATACCCACTTGGATCAAGGGGCTCCAGTTTGACTAATTGATGGTCCCCCTTCAAGTTCAAGTGCAGGTAAGCATGTCTCATCCCTCTTTTTACATGTGCTGCACGCATCATAAGCCCCTAAAACGTCAAATCGGAAAAACTGTTCAAGCAAACGAAAACTTTCTAGTAAGATACTACTCAAATAACGCCTATATAATCCCAGTTTCCATTTCATTTTCCATGTTCTTTTCCATTTGATTCTCCATTATAGGGCCCTAAACCCTATATTATTAAATCTGAAACCCCAGTCCGACTTGGAGCCGAGAAGCCGAACGCCACAATACGCACATTCTCCGCAACTCCGACGCTCGCATATGCTTGGCCCAAGCACGCCACTTGCTCCACGGCCTTGGCAATCAGATGTTCCAGTGCTGGTTTAGGGTTTAGGGTTTAGGGTTTAGGGTTTAGGGTCAGATTTAATAATATAGGGTTTAGTGGCATGGACCTTTAGGTATAATG